GGATGGGATGGGATGGGATGGGATGGGATGCATGGATGGATGCATGGATAGATAGATAGTTAGATTTTTTTGGGGTATTTTCCTTTCAACCAAGCGGTCACCAACTGAGTAACGCCACTGATTTCCCCGGGCAACGCCGGGTATTCCGCTAGTCTGTTATAAAGCTATGCATCGATGTGGGATCTATGATCTACTACGCGCCCCGTGTTTACATTGTCGCGCACCGCACTATGCAGCCGTGTCTGTATAGTATGCTTCGAAAAACGCGGATTGCTGCATCGTGTAGATACAGAACTCGAGTTTTTTCTCGTGTAGACACTTCATACGCGTTAAGTACGTGGCCGCCCTTCCTGTGAATTCACAACCTGATAGACTCACGGACACACGTCAATTAATACATGCACATTGCATATTAGCCCATGAAACAGACTGTTGAATTATTAAACTCGTATATGCCTCACCATGCATTTATTTATACATTTCATGAACATTTTTAACGCATTTTAATTATTTAAGATGGTTTCTGAGTTGCGTTAATGACAATTATGCAATATGGTATCAAAATATTTCTTGAATTCAGCTTTGTAGTGTAGTTATGAGAAGGTTTTATGCCTCTAATTAAGTTGACATGCGGAGTAAATTTTGATAACAATGTCTTAATACTGCAAGACAGAGCTAGCAAAATAGCGGGCGGATCAGTTCGTTAAGCGATTCTCTTGGAGGCAAGTGCCTCCAGAACGGCCACAAATAACAAATCTATTTCTGGACCGACAATTCCATTAAAATAATTACCCTGGATACACGAGGTTTAGCAAAACAATACTGGTTTAATAAAACAATTAAAGACCTGCATGCTAGATATGTCTTTAGTGAAAAACTATCAATGTTTGATTGAGTACTGCTGTCCATGCCGCGATTTCTGGCAGAAATTGTATTACAATGTATCACACTCTGCAATGGCAAGGGCCTACGGATGCCCGTTCATTACACGGTCTAGTTGCATTTCGCGGTTGTCGTGCCTTATAAAGTGCTTCCTGAATAACATGGTCCCCGAATATTTAACAGTAAGCACGAATTACACGGTCCACCTGCCCCATATCGTGCACTATATGTTCCTCCCTTCTCTTTCTCTCTCTCTCTCGCTCTCTCTCTCTCTCTCTCTCTCTCTCTCTCTCGCTGCATTAGAATGTTTAGTTGCCGTGCAACGCGTCGCCGTGACGCGACAATAATTATTATTGTGGCATGGCTTTTAGCACAGCTCTGATGTGTCCTGACTGCGACAGGTGCTTGTGAAAATAATAAGATTCTGCGATCTCTAGCGCAATGATTGACGCGTGACTACACACATTTGTTTCGTGCGTTTACATTTTCAGATTTTAGTGACGTACTCGTCGACGTATGTGTTAGTGGCGCTGAGCATAGACCGCTACGACGCCATCTGCCGGCCGATGAATTTCACAACATGCCGTGAGTGTTTAATCTTCCGGCGCAGCGCAGCGGCGATATACTGTCGAGCATTGGCGCATATCAGAATGATAACAGCTGTCATTGCTTGCTACCGTTCTGGAATCGCATATTTTTACCGCCAATGAAACAGATAGGAGCCGTTGGCTAACGGTGATTGTTTGACTAAAAAGTATCGAGATAAAATATCCCCCAGGTATAGCCGATATACGTACCGTTATAGCACTCCGAACTACCCAACGTACTAGAAAAAGATCCTTACAGTGAAGGACTAACAACGATCGTTGTCTTGTGAATTTCACAACCGCATAAAGCTGCTATTCCAAGCACACGTACAACTGCATATCAACCAGCTTAGAAAGAAAATGCGGTCAGTCTGGGCCATCGGCGATCACTGGTATGCCCGCCAATTCTAATAATATATAATAAATAACTAAATAATATTTTTCAATTTAAGAAAGTAGAATATTTATCTGGCAAGGGGTACTAGCAGTCTAGCATGTAAGCTTCGTCTTGAGCGATTAGAGATTTTAAACGGCTCGTTAGTGTGCTACAGTTCTATACGTTGCATCGCACACAGCACAAATATCCGGAATATAGCTTCTCTTGATTGATCCGCAGCATTAGCGGCGGCAGGCGACATTTTATTTTCGTAAATCTCCAGCGTTAAGACAATGAGGACATGAAAAACAGCAAGAATTAATTAGGCAGTGTATTGAATTAGCATAGTATTGTATTATTGTTGGTTGCCGTTTATAGGCACGGGTTTTTAACGGGTTGTGGTTAGGGAGGGATATGACCGGAAAGGAATGCGACTCGGAGTGAATTGTAGTTGGCAGCTGGGAACGGAGGCGGTACAGTGAGGTTGTCATTGACGACAGAGCTGCGGATGCATAGCCTTCGTCGCTGACGCATCAAAGGATATGCCGATAGACAAGCGTAAGTAAGATATATGTGGCCGGCAAAATTATGCACGCAAAAGTTGTCTCTTAAACTCCTCGGGAAATTCGCAAATTACTACCGGACGCAAACTGAAGCCGCCAGAGGAAATGAGTTTAGCACAAGTGAATTAGTTTCAACGAAGCGGTCAGAGATAAAGTAACAACGTGGACTTTGCGCATGATGTATACGAACTGCAGCTCGAGTCGTCTCTAATGTATGTCTTTTGGGTTCCTTCGGGGAACCCACAAAGTGCTATAGAATGAAATTATGGCTAGTCTTCCAGGGCATGAATGAGGGTGAGTTTCTATTTCCACCGCATCAAATTCACAACAGCGTTTTTAAACAAAACACACGTGTAGCAAAAGCCTAGCGCAGACCTGCGACTTTTTCATGCAACTCGACAGAGATTCTAGTGAATTCTAGATCTAGTGAAATTGCTGTGAAATTTCTACGTCTACGTGAACGTGCAACTGCAACGCGTAGCGATTCTGGTCGCTTGCGACGAGTTGCAAGAAATCAAACTGTTTTGATTTTGAGCGACTCGTCGCTCCCAAATTGCTTTAGCATTGCTTCGAAATCGCATGTGTGCGCACACGCGGCTACACATCGACCGATCGCTTGTGGTTGCAGGTTGCAGCGACGAGCAACCAAAAATCGCAGGTCTGCGGTAGGCTTTAGATACTATTTTATTGTTTAATTATTAATTAATAATTGGATTAATTATATATCAGACTTTATATATAATATAATTAGAGTCATTAATAAGTTTAAGGATACAGTCAAGGTTACTGTTAGGTACCTCTGTCAAGGTTACTGCCAGGTACCTCTGTCAAGGTTACTGTCAGGGACCTCTGTCAATTAAGATATTAGCACTTTTCTACATTTCACAATGATTTAACGGCTGTGTTTAGAATATGCGTATGCGGGGATTTTGAACTGTTTGGGAGGGGCCCATGGGCGCCATCCATCAAATAAAATGGGTATTGAAATTTCGACCGAAAATCACCTACCAACCCCGAATGTTTCCCGTATTACGTATTCTATTGAAAAATTCGCACCATCTATTTAGATTCCGCACATGGATTCGCTCTGTAGATTCCAAATAGAAAGTTGTTTTATAGGCCCAAGACTGTAAATTGATTTTACGTCCCGTAGAGGAGGGTTCTCTCTCAATTACATACAACCAAGTACTTTCTCTCTCGACTCCATGCATTGTGCCTTTCTTTAGGCCATATATACAAGACGTCGGCATCCGACCGAATTCTAAATAGGAAGTTTCCCGTATTCCACTCATGTTCACACGCTGAGATGGCTTTTTTAAACAGCATCACTGTAAGTCGCAGAGGGTCTCCCATGTAGACTTCCGTCTGCGTATATACAGAGTTGCGACATGACGAGTCAATGAAGTTCTGGTTACGCGACGCATGGAAGCCTTTTTACCTCCGCAGGGGTTGGCAGGAGGTTATGTTTTCATCGACGTGCGTTTGTTGGTTTGTGGGTTTCTTTGTGTACAGCCTAACTGAAAAAGTTATAGACCGATTGTCATAAAATTTTCAGGATAGGTCAGAAATGGGCTAACTTAGAACTGATTAGATTTTGGTGGTGATTCGGATCCAATTAATTAATTAATTAATTAATTAATAACATTTTCAGGATAGGTCAGAAATGGAGTAACTTAGAATTGGTTACATATTGGTGGTGATCCGGATCCAATTAATTAATTAATTAATTAAATTTTCAGGATACGTCAGAAATCGGGCAACTTAGAATTGATTACATTTTGGTCGTCATCTGGATCCAATTAATTATTTTAATTAATTAATTAATTAATAAAAAATTTCACAGTGACAGAATTGAGCTGCCTTGTTGCATATACTTTCCCGGTAAAGGGACATTTAATAGAGTAGTGTACCTGGTGTTAGATTGAGCTCGCTTCACCTATTATTACCGCTGCATATGAATGATACTTGGCGACATCGATATTACCGCAGGCCGACGAGCGAGGATCCTCATTGTCGTCGCCTGGCTGCTGAGCGCCCTGTTCGCAACGCCGGCGCTCTTCTTCTACTACATAAAAGAGCTGCCGGAGCAGCAGACGACGCAGTGCTGGATTGACCTGGGATTCATTGTCAACTGGCGCGCCTACGTGACGCTGGCGGCGTTGACGATATTCATCATTCCCGCCATCATCATCATCGCCTGCTACGTGATCATCATCGCGACGATCTGGAGCAAGAGTCGCTTTCTGATCACGCAGCCCGCGCCACCGTCCTTTTCGCTGCGAAACCTCAACCGGACAAACGGCGGTAGGTCATTGCACGCTGCTGCCTGTGTTGACTGTCCCGGGACCTGCTTCGTGGCACCCAAGGCTCAGTCACACATTCAGGATTTTTACTGCCGTCCTTGATAGGACCATTCCCGATTAAAATTGTCAAAGTCTGATCAGATCCTGTGATTCGTGGCGAGAAGATCAAACTTTATTAAAAATTTGTTAAATATTTATTTATCACGACAACAATCAGATATTGTTCAGGAAGCATCTCGATTCAACGTTTCCAGCCGAATTCGTCCCGATTCTCCAGTTCTCATCGATT